TCATCAAACCAGAAAAAAAGAGCAGTAGTCTTTCCACCCACTCAGGCTTTGAGGGATTTCATTACCTCCCTTTACTGTTTATTTGGGCTTAAATGATGACCACACAGATACACAAAATCATATCTTAAAACACTGGTCTGAGTATTCTAATTAACAGAGTGTTTTTAGCAGCCTTGCCCTCTGCATCTGGCTTTCTGCTTTGCATTTCTCGTGACCGATTTATTTTATCTTATTACAGATTCTGTTGTCTTTGGATTTATCAGCATCCCCTGGATGTGAGAAGCTAGCTCACTGAGATAACTGGTGTTGATACATCTCAAATGCCTACATGTACAAAGTATTCTTAAGGAAAAAAATGAGGTAACTGTGGTAGTACATTGGACAGTTGTTCAGTTTTATTAGTTTCTTTATTTTCTGAACATGTGAAATAGAAAATTAGTGTTTATCCTTGATCTCCAGCCTGGAAAACATGTTTGGCCAATAGATAATACTATATGTCCAAATACACATCTATCAGTTGAGCTAAAGCATGAGGAAACTGGAGCATGGATTGCAAAATGTAAGTTCCTCATGGCTTTGTGGGTAGTGTAGAAACTGCTCAAAGCCAATGACAATGCCCCCGGTGGGTAAGTTTCCACCCTTCTCTGATCAGCTCACAGATGTTGAACCTCTGGTTTAACATCTCATGCAAACAGTTTCTTCTGTTTCCTGAAGGTGGACTCCTAGTATAATAAAAAGATCTCATAATAATTAAATGGAATCATGAATTTTGTTTGCGTCTGTACCGTGTACTGGCTGAATAAACCTGGTGACATCTGCAAGTCACCGGTAACTCAATATTCTTACGAATAAGAATGGAGATGACATAACGGAAGAGTGGTCCCCCCACCCTCCCACAGTTGTCGGGAGGATCAGAGAAAAGCGTACAAATGCTAGTTCTCCACGAGTCTATGCTGCCATTGTGTAGACATAACATTAAGAGGCAAGTTTAGCTCCATACATGGTGTGAAGATAGTTTTCATTGTCCTCAAAGAAGGGGTTTGGATCTTTGAAAACTTTGAAGATGATCTTAATTCAGTTGTTTTTCTTAGGCTTGTTGGAACTAGCATATGACTGGTGTTATTAGTGTGTGTGAGGGGCTGGGTACATGGCAGGACAGGTTCTTGCTCTGTAGCCCCATCTGACCTAGAACTCATGATCTTTTGCCTGAGCCCTCTGGGTGTTGGTATCACAGTCTGGTGCCACGGGTGTGGTTCCCCCAACAACAGTGGCATATACCTTTCCACAACAGGCCACAATCTTTATCAGATCTTTTTTGTACCTGACCTTCAGTTTTTATCATGATGTACTGCTATAGATAACATTCATTTTCATGGAGCTATCCCTGCCTCCTTGTTTTTGTTTGCTTGTTGGTTTGCTTATGATTTTGAGTGCAGGTGCCCTTTGAGGCCAGAGGTACAGGCAGTTGTGAACCACTGACCTGGCTGCTGAGAAATAAACTCAGGTCCTCTGAAGAGCTTCAAGTATTCTAAATTACTGAGCCACCTCTCCAGCCCCCTCACCCCCAGAGGACAATTTCTAGAAGTCCAAGGAGCTTAGCCTTATTATGGAAACCATTTGCTTGAGGATATTAAGCCAGTGGCCTACTTCTGTTCTGTCCATTCCCATCTAAGAGTTTCCTTCCCTTTCTTTAGACAAGATCTAGACATATCCTAGGCTGCCTCCAAACGTCTGGGCTCCAGGATGACTCTGCCTTCCCAACACTTAAGACTGCACATATACCACGATCCTCCCTTTTCATTTTTTAAACAAATGCGTGCAGCCCCTATCTAATTTCAATAGCCCATAAGCTTTCGTCACATGCAACATGAGTATTTTTTCAGCTTGGTTATCTTCCATAGTTGATGCTTAGTGAGTCTGTCTAGCCTCATTAGCCTCAAGCATATTCCTGTGTGTGTGTGTGTGTGTGTGTGTGTGTGTGTGTGTGTGTGTACTGTGTTTATGTGTATGCATGTGTGCTTGTGTGTGTACCTGTATGTGTGTAGGTGTGTGCCTGTGCCTGTGCTGTGAGTCTGCTTGGGAGTAGCATATTGGAGGTTTTCTCCCTTTTCTCCTTGGTAGGGGGCATGGGTCTAAAAACCTACTGGTTTAATGTTGGCTGTAACTTTCTAGGGATGACATTTCTAAACGTCAACAGTAAAACCTCCGCCCCTGGGAGGAAGTCCTTGCCTGTGTTTGACAGGCTATTCCTTTAATTTGAAACCTGAGTCCACACTCATAACATCTACCTAAAGTCACTGGCTCCCTCTCTGACTGGATACTCTGCCAGCCAATCCTTGACTGGCAGCTTCCAGATGCCTCACAGTGGGCCCACAAAGCTCTTTTTTCTTTGGCTTTCTACACATCAGCCCAGAGTCCTGTGTTCCTAAATGCCTCTTTATCAGCTAACATTTCGAGGTTCCTGGAAAGGATGTTAACGGAGTCTCAGGATATTGCTTAGGCTGGTCACCAACTTCAGGCTCAAATGATCCTGAAGCTTCAGCTTTCCAAGTAGCTGAGACTACAGGTGTGTGGCATCATGCCAGACTTATGATGCTGATGTTTCTTTATTTTCACATTTTACTCTCATCTTAGGTGGAAACAGGAGCTATCAGCAACGAAACTGCACAATTCTGTGGTTCTTCCAAAAACAACAGTGTTTCCCTTGTCTTCATTGCAAGTCTAGATTGTCACAGTCCGTTGCTTTGGAGAATGGGCTTTCCTGGGCCAGTGGCAAGAAACAGGTGTGGGATTGCCCATGGAGGACTCAAGGCTCCCTCCAGGGTGCTAGAAGACCCCCTCCCCATGATGATGGATGACTGGTAATGGGGCCTACTGAAACTTCCTGAATGTATCTAGGATGCCATAGTCCTGAAGCTGGTCCACAAAGGCTGGAGGTCCACAGAGGTTGGAGGTCCATGGAGGCTGGAGGTATACAGAAGCTGGAGGTACACAGAGGTTGGAGGTCCATAGAGGCTGGAGGTCCACAGAAGCTGGAGGTCCACAGAGGTTGGAGGTCCATGGAGGCTGAAGGTCCATAGAAGCTGGAGGTACATAGAGGCTGGAGGTCCACAGAGGTTGGAGGTCCACGGAGGATGGAGGTCCACAGTTGTGTCAGGAACACTGGAGGTAGAGGCATATGGGAGATAGGAGGTCAGCAGTGTCATCACAGGGAGTAGTCATTCTTCTGTGTCTGTATCCCAGTATTCTGTGCAGGGGCTCCATAGGACAAAACGAGGGTTTACTCTGTAGCCTCTCACTGGCTGCATGAATAGTACCTTATAGATCCTGTAAGCTCATGGGGATGTGGCACATCTTCAGTTTGTCATTATCACCATCTTGTAAGGATGCTGAGAAATAGCTTTAGACATGATGTGGATCTTCTCTTCGCTGAGGTGGACTTCATGTTCAACTACTTCTCACTCCAACAGAAAGGCCCCGATTTCCCAGTCACTCTACAGTTTAAGCAAAGGGCTGTAGGGGCTGGCAAGATGGCCCAGAGGTTAAGAGCGTTTCCTGCTCTTCCAGAGGACTGGAGTTCTGTTGCCAGCACCCATGATGAACTGCTCACTACTGCCTGTAACTCCAGCTCTGACTCTGTCTTCTGGCCTCCAGAGGTACACACACACACACACACACACACACACACACACACACACACACACATGCTGCGGGCTCTAGTTTCTGGCTTCCTTTTGGTTCAGTAGGTTCCTGGGTGTTTCTCAAACTTCCAATTTGAACAGCTACTTTGACACTGGCTAGATGCAGCAGCGTCCTGGGTGCTGGAAGGGTCTCCCTGACGTTTTTTAAATATGTATCAAAGTTGAAAAGGATTTCCCAAGCATACAGAGATGTTGTGGCCAGTGAAGAGCTGCCAGCATGTGCATAGTAAAGAGCAAACACAGTTTACAGGAGAAAAACAGCTCCTGGTCAAAGTGAGACGAAGCACAGAAGCTAGCAGTCTCCAGTGTCTGCCTGTGTGAAGCAGGGCCTGTGGGTCGGGCTGCTGGAAACTGCGGCTTGACCAGAGAGGGTAAAGACAGACAAGCCTTGGGTGCTGGGGAGATGGCTCAGGACCTAAGAGCATTAACTCTCCTGCAGAGGACCTGAATTCAGTTTCCAGCACCCACCCGGTGGCTCACAATCGCTGTAACTCCACGGTCTCTTCTGGCCTCCAGAGGCATCCAGTCACAAGGACACACAAATGTGTAAAGTAAAATAAACATTGAGTGTGTGTGTGTGTGTGTGTGTGTGTGTGTGTGTGTGTGTGTGTGAGAGAGAGAGAGAGAGAGAGAGAGAGAGAGAGAGAGAGAGAGAGAGAGAGAGAGAGAGAGAGAGAGAGAGAGAGAGAGAAACCTGTTATCCCTCACTGGGGAGGTTCAGGCAGGAGGACCAGGAGTTTAAAACAAAAACAAACAAACAGAAAACAAACATCAACGACAGAGAGAAAGAGAGACACAGAGAGACACACAGAAATAGTGAGGGAGGGAGGGAGGAAGGGGGGGGGCTAAGAAGAAAAGGAATATGGAGTGGAGTTTTATGGTTAGTGCGCACCTGTAATTCCAGTATTTGGGAGTTCATGGCTAGTTTGGGCTTACAGGCCATCCTGCCTATTAATAGCAAATAAATAAATCTTAAAAGTGAGCAGAATTTGGGTGTTGGCTAGCCGAAGGTCTCTTCTGGCTTCCGGAATGACAGCAGGAAACCGGGCCTGTAAAGAGAGCACAGGACACCCCCGCTGCCTGGGAGGAGAGGTAGACGACTTTGAAGGAACCCAGGGCGGTCCCCCACACCCCCGGAGGCCGACGAGCTGGGGAGCAGGCTGGGCGTCTCCCGGCCGCCCGGGGCCGGGCTCACGGGGATCCGCGCCCTGCTCTGCCCGGCTCCTCCTCCGGGGCGTCCCCGGCTGCCGGCCAATGGGCGGCGGGCGGTGCGGAGCGGGAAGCCGAGCGCTGGGGGCCCAGCCCTCCCAGGCGCGGGGGACCTTAGCACCAGGTCCGCGCCCTGGAGTAGGCGACGGGTTCCCGCGCGATCCTCCAGAACCCTCGAGGTGACCAGTGTGCAGCGCCCGGGCGATAGCATACCCGAAGATGCAGGATGGCTGCGCAATCGCCCGCCAGCCTCTCCTACCGCACCACGGGCTCCACCTGCCTGCACCCGCTCAGCCAGCTCCTCGGCATCCCGCTAGACCAGGTAACAGCGACCCACCCGCGACCCCGACCCTCGGTCTGGGGAGAGGGATGCGCCCGGGTCCCCGCCCACAGGCCACAGGTGCGAGGGCTTCCTTTTGAGTCGGTTGCTTGTTCTGTGTGAAAGCTACCAGTTCACCTAAACCGACAAGTTGGACTGAACTTAAGTTTTGGTCTGTGATCGAAACTTCAGTGGTGAGATTCACGAATCCAGCATTTTCCCACTAGTGCCCTTTGGTCTTTGTGATTTTAAATTTAAGCGAGCCTACTTTAAGAATAAGTCTGATCGAGCTGGGCGTGGTGATGGCTCACTCCTCTAATCCCAATTCTCCAGAGCCCGGGGCAGGAAAATTGCTGCATGTTCCTGTCTACTGTCTAGGTAACTGAGTGAGATGTCTCAACCCCAAAACAAAACCAAACAACCACAAGAAGTAAAAAGTCCGACTACGTAGGTGTGTAGGTATATAGTCTAGCATATGGCGGTGACTTGTTTGTTGAGACAGCATCTGGCTGTGCAGCCCAGACTTCCTTGACACTCACTCTGTAGTTCAGGCTGGCATTGAGCTCTCTATTTTGCCTAGGCTGGGCTAGAACTTGTGGTGATCCTCTTCCTTCTGTGTGGAGATGCTTATCAGACCACGAGGGCCTTTGTTATCAGTCTTTATTCATCTCTGCTGTGGGAAGCTGATGAGTAGGGCCGGTTCTTGGGAGAAGAGGGGCTGCCGGGAAATCTTTTGAACTGTTCAGGAATTGCCTGCTACATTACGGTTAAAATTGGCAACAGTAACTTGGTAAGCAATCGTATAAAGACAGCCAGGGCTGCAGCTCAGAGGTAGAGCTTGTAGTATCCAGGAGGGTCTGGATGCTAGCCCCAGGACTAGGGGAAAAGTCTTCCTGGGTTGTAGCCTTGTTTACTTGGTTTCGGGCCTCAGGCTTGTGTAAGATGCCTATTGATTTAAATGGACTCAGGCAGGGTAGGTGGGAATAAGACTCCCGCTCCCCCTACTATTTCGTTTCTGCTGAGTTTTCCATGTTTATTTTCCCTTCTTTTGCTGGGTATTGTGGTGCATGCTTGTATTTCCAGTACTTGGGAGACTGAGGCAGGAAGATTGCTTCTGTTAAATGGCACCTCAGCCATCTGTCCCAGGCTTTGAGACTTAACGTCTTCAAGTTGGAGACCAGGATAGGCCATGTGGAGAGCACCAAGCCTGCCTGGGCTACATGGCAAAACCGTGGCTCAAAAATGCAAAACAAGAACAGAGATTTCCCATCTTTTTGGAGCTGTTTTCTTTCTTTCCTTTCATGCTAGAGCTACCTGTACCTGCTGCCGCTCCATTTGCATTCCTCTGGCAATGATGAAGTTGGACCTGGCCTTGGCATTTACTCAGCGTCCCCTCAGCTTCTGGGGTTCTGCCTACTGCCTTCTCATCAGTTGCGAAACTCTGAGAATCAGGAACTTGGTAGATGTATCAGATGTTAAGTCAATCACTCTTCACTTTGTAGTAAAGACCAGGAGTCCAAGGGACCCAGGCAGGCAGGCACAAGAACAAATTCTGTCACTCGGAAACTAAATTTATCTGTTGCTGAATTTCCATAGGACGAGTTCATTTTGCATTGACCTCTCTAATTCCTACCAGAGTCTATTGTAGCTTCATTTTCTATTTTACAATAGTCTATTTACAATAATAGAAAATAATTTCTATTTATTTTCAGAGGGGGCTTCTCCCCCTTTGTACAGAAAGAAACAGATTGGTGAAGTACTAAGGCAAATTGAGAGGAGGCCCTAGTGTGTTATCAAGCTTTTAGCCACATCAACCTCCCTCCCCAAGCTGTACATTTTTGTAAAAGTTAACCTGGTTTTTAGAAGAGATTTATTTTATTACTTTAAATTGTGTGTGTGTGTGTGTGTGTGTGTGTGTGTGTGTGTGTGTGTGTGTGTGTGTGCATCTGCACATGTGTGCACACACAAGCCCCTGGTGGATATGTGTACATGAGAACAAGAGGGTCTTGGGTCCTGTGGAGCTGGAGTTATAGGCAACTGTGAGCTGCGGGATGTGGGTGCTAATAACTGAACTAGGTCCTCTGAACGAGCAGCCTTTGCTTTTAACCTCTGAGTTATCTATCCAGCCCCCAAAGCAATCCTGTTTTGAATTTATGAAAAGGAAGAGAGGAGCATTACAGACGTGAATGATTTTAGTTCATACCACAAATGAACTCAGATCATGGGATGAATGGAAAATCCTCAGGAACACTTGGCATCTCTGAGATCTTAGGTCAGCCTGACCAGCGGGGTCAGTCTGAGCTTTGGTGAAAGAAGTGCTCATTATATGATACCTTAAATCATTTGTTTTCAGCCTGGGGGAAAAATCCTGAGCCATAACTAGTATAATTTGGGACCAAACTGTGGCAGTGGGTTTGTCTTTGATCCTTTCCCCAGTGTCTCAAGGTTTCACGTTCCTGTTCATACTTTTTAATAAATCACATTTCTGTGATTGCCTTCAATCTCTGGCTTTCCCTGCATCAAGAAGTTTATTATTGAGGTTGGAGAGATGGGCGAGCAGTTGAGAGTGCTTGCTGCTCTTCCAGAGAACCTGAATTTGGTTTCTTTCACCCATGTGAGGCAGCTCACTACCGTCTGTAATTCCAGCTCCAGAGGATCCATGCATGAGTTTGCACACACACACACACACACACACACACACACACACACACACACACACATATGCACACGCACACCAAAAGAAAAGAAATCTTTTAAAAAGTTTATTATCTGCAAAACCCTGTACTATGCTCTGTGTCCTGGCTTATGAGAGGAACTCTTTGTTTCTGCTCATCTGATGATCCTTTTTACCTGTTCTTGAGGGCAGTCTGAGATGGGAATGCTTGTGTCCAGTTATGTCTACGATAGAAGTCTATAGCTGTTTTTATAGCTTTTTTTTTAATAGGTACTTGCCTTGCCTGACAAACTCCTGAAGCTGTTAAATGTGAAATTCTTATTTAATGACAGACAGCTAGAGCACTGCAATTCAAATGAAGTATAGGAAATGGGGATGACTCAGAGCTTCTGCAGCTTGGATATGTTTGCTGAAAACTGTATCATGAGGTCCAGAGAGATGGCTCAGTGGGTTAAAAGGCATTCGAGGCTAGCCTGATGACTTGAGTTCAATCCTAGGGACCCACGTGATGAGAGGAGGAAACCAACTTCCACAGGCTGTCCTCTGACCTCAGCACGTGCATACACACTCGTGCACAATATAAATGATATATATATATAATATATTATACTATATATTATTATATATGTTATATATATTACACACACACACACACACACACACAAACCCTAAAAGACTAAACCTGATTTTCTAAACAAGCCTTTGTCTGTGTGGCCATGGATTATCTAGACACTAACCTTCACTTAGGATAAATTAGGTAAGGAATGGAGGATGAGGTGAAGGCTCATGTTCTCTAGAGAGTTCTGGCTTTGGAGTACAACATGATGAACTTTAAATTGAACCGTAGCCTCCATGATTACAAAGCATGGCCGACTCAGCCACCTGAGTGGAATCTGGAGTTCTGACATTATTCATTCATGCGGTGTGTGATTGTAGCTTGGGAGCAATGCTCATAGGAAAGAATTATTTTTCAGATTTTGAGGGATGTCAGTGTGGTGGTGGTGAATTCTGGGGGCCGAGGACATCAGTGCCTAATGGTGTCCCCAAACTTTATGTGTTTTTTTATTAAGGGTCAGTTCAGCCTTAGGCCATGATGCTTTGCCCAGGTTTGTTCATTCATTCATTTGTTTGTTCATTCGTTTGTTCATTTGTTCCTTCCTTCCTTCCTTCCTTCCTTCCTTCCTTCCTTCCTTCCTTTCCCCCTCCCCTTCTCTCAATTTATCATCTGCTGAGAAAGAGACAGACTAGAATTAGAATCCAGGAAATGATACTGAGGTTAAAGTAGCCAGTGTTTAAGAGTTTAACACAGACCTGTGATCCCATTTAAAGGAGAACTCATGGGGCTGGAGAGATGGCTCAGTGGTTAGGAACACTTGCTGCTCCAGCAGAGGACCTGGGTTTGGTTCCAGCATACATACAATGGCTCACAATCATCTGTAACTCCAGTTCCAGGGGAATCGACCTCTTCTGACAGCTGAGGGCACCAGGCATGCATACATTCATACATGCAGACAAAACACTCATACACATAAAAATACATCCTTTTTTAAAATGCACTCATGAAGGCTAGCCTTGGAGACCTGGCACTAGGCTAATGGTGACCCAGCGGAAGATTATTACGCTGAGATCTGTGACCTCAGGTTTCCTTGAGCTTTTGGTCACCTGGTTGAAGTCCTTGGCTATGCTTGGAAAACCCAGGTTCTGTTCTTATCTAAGTCTTGCCTCACATTAAAAGCTCGGCTCACATTCCACAGCCATTGTTAAATACATTAAACATTTATTTAATCCTGTTAGTACCAGGTACTTGGCTGTGTGGTGAAATAAAGTCAAGGTCCCCACTGTAGAAAAGTTTATGTACCAGCAGAGGAGAGGCTCACGCAAGTAAACGGGTGTATGCTCCAGTTTGTAGCTGGCACCTCAGGGGAGCGGGAAGAGAAGTGAAGGACACATTTGACTCTTGTAGACTTTATACAAACAAGACACTGCATGAAAGTCACCTTGTATTGTGACATTGCTGGGTTTGCAGACGATTTCAAACTCAAGTTTCTTCATGGTTTCATGAAACTGCTTCCCCGGGGGATTTTAGATACCAAAAAAATGTCTGTTGGTCATAACAGAAGATGCCAATGTTGTTAATTATTAAAGTTCTATGCAAAGAACAGTATTTTGATTTTGTGAATTTTGGTCCCAGGGATTGAACTGAGGGCCTTGAAAACACTAGGGCACACTCTCTACTAAGGAGGTGATCCCAGCCCAGGAACCTTGTTTGTTTGTTTGTTTGTTTGTTTGTTTTTGAGACAGGATTTCTCTAGTCCTGGCTGTCCTGGAA